AACATAGATAAGACGGAGGTTATGAAGATAACCAACCTACAACAACGACAACAGCAGCAACATCCAGCGTCAATCACCATCAACGGGAGGGATTTGAAAGAGGTCACTTTATTCACTCACTGATCTACGGAGCATCGTCTCAACTACAAGCAGTCAGAACGGACGAGGAAGTCAAATCGACGGAGAATTGGGAAGGCAGGCGAGAAACACATTCATCAACTTGAAACCAATCTGGAAATCTTCGTCACTCAGCCAGCATCAACAACAAAATTCGGTTGGATTTTCAATACAAACATGTCAAGTCAGTCAGTTCTTCTATACGGATCAGAAACCTGGCAGGCGGGTCACAAAGAATATTTCCAACAGCCTGTTGCAGACCTTCATCAACCAACAAATGTCTTCGCTTTATACTGAATGAAGATCAGATGGCCGGGCCGGAAAGAATCACCAACAAGAAACTATAGGAACAGACAAAACAAGAACCAATCGCCAACCAACAAATATGCAGGAGAAAGTGGAGGGAGAAGGATTGGACACTCGATGAGGAGGCCGCTGGATGACATCATGCGTCAGGCCATTTCTCAAGTGGAACCCGAAGGGGAAGCGGCGAGTGGGATGTCAGTGCAAGGGTGACAAGGGTGAGGAGATCGTGTGAAGAGTTGAGGAGTTGAAACAGTTTGGACTAATATGGCTGCAGGTGAAAAGTACAGCAGAGGGAAGACAGAAGCAAGCGCAGACATGCAGTTGAAGCCCTATGTTCCACAAGGAACCCAAGGGAACAATAATAATAATATTTATTAAGATTGTACGTCGGTAGCACAACTGTAGAATGTTTGTCAACCACGCCACAGGTGGTTTGGAGTTCGATCTCCGCCCGGCCGACGCACTCCCTTACCTCGCTTAGCCAGTAATAAGACTGGTAAAGATGTAAGGTTGAGCATGAGGCTAGCAACCCCATCCCGTAAAAATAAATAACAATGCTACAGAAACTTCAAGCCTCTAGTTTGAAGCCCTATGTTTATCTGGGAACGTATATTTACATATATATGTTCAACTGAGAAAGATTGCCAACAATTCACCGCGAAGATCCATTTAAAAGAAGCCCACAAGCAACGGACACTTCATCAACTTTCAAAGTTGCATGCCTCTAAGCAGAAATAGAAACCTAGTATATACTCGCTTCCCTTAAAGATTCGGAAAATTTACACTGAGGAGTCAAATGATGCAAAATTGCTTAATCCCCGAGGTACCTTGATAGAAAATGGTTTCCCACTCGCATTCATAGACAAGAATCTAAAACCAAAGAAGAAGTTTAAAAAGGTCCAAGTTGACCCCCCCCCCCGAAAAGATGTTGATACTTAACCTCGAATTCGATACTGAAACAGAACTTCTCTATTGGCGGCTTTGTGAATCTCTCAGTGAAACATACTTTGGCGCTGCCCTACAAGTGACACTTTCTTCTAGAAACTACTGTCGCATAGGGCTACATCAGCATGAATAAACCAGTTCACTCGCTGCTGTGGAGCTGAATACATTGGTTGTACCATGCGTCCGCTTGTAAAACTCTTTCGAGAACACTATCCATCCTGACTGGCTAGTAAAGGGAGGACGCAAGGACATATAGCGAATTCAGGAAATTCAGTCCAATTTGAGAAGTCCTTCAAGGTCATCTGCAAGATCCGATCGAATCTGTTAAACGGACTGCTAAGATCAAGGCATCTGGCTAGGCATTGCTGAGTCACTAGCGATGAAACAGTTCAAGCCCACTCTATGTATTCAAAAGAAATACGTTCAACTGTTGTCCTTACCGTGGCAATCATAAAATATCATTCCTATCAATAGTGATTATCCTCCAACCTTTCTTATCCAGTCTTCCTGTTTTATTTCTATTATTTTTGCTTATTTTAATTCCTATCTAGCTCACAGACTATTTAACCACTTGGACCTGATTCAATGACAGGCCCATGAATTCTCACTCCTGTCAATTCACGACATAACTCGAACACTAGCCAGTATCTTCAGTGAGTATTTTTCCTCACGCCCAACCTGCTGTACCCTACTGGTCACGGCTTCTTCTCCTTAGAACCTCAGATAACTATATCGTGAATTGGTAGAAGTTGGAATTCACGCACCGGTCGTTGGATCGAGTCCCAGTGGTTTAATGGTCTGCGAGCTAGCTTGTCTTGTAACCAGAAGGTCCTGAATTGGAACAATGGCGGCGGGTGCATAAAGATGAAGAGCTACAAACTAGGACGAGACAGCTGTCCAGTACTCCCTTCAGGTTTCCCAATGCTTCGTTAACTGATATTCAGCTCATGATGAAATCCTCTAACTAAAATTAATTTTATTTTATAATAAATATTATGCACGTGAAAACTTTTGAATTCAGGATTTCATCATGAGCTGACATTATCTGGAGAACCATTGGAAAACCTGGGAGTACTGGACAGCCAGCTGTTTCGTCCTAGTTTGGGACTCTTCACCAGTACGCACCCACCGGATTCGAACCCAGGACCTTCCGGTTACAAGGCGAGCTCGTATACCATTAAGCCACTGGGACCCGATCCAATGGTCCTTGAATTCTAACTTCTGCCAATTCACGACATAGCGCGACCGCTAGCCAATGTCTTCGGCGAGTATTTGTCCTCACACCTGACCGGCTGCATCCTACTGGTCACGACTTCCCACTGGAACCCAGGTAACTAACTACCTGAATAGGGCCAGTTGCCAGTGAGCATCTCATTGGTATTTAAGTGTCAGCTCATGATGAAATCCTGAAACCAATCAAATCCCTACAAACCAACACTTAAACAAGTTTTGAATTGTCTATCTATGCCACTATTGACGTAGGTTTATGTATTTTTGATATAAGTTATCGGCATTCATATAGATCTGACGAGGTTACGGATTTATTCTCAATGTTCTTTAAAACATCCGTCGGTTGGTTTTTGATCACATGTGTCTTGTTTATTTGATCACTGGGTTTGGCGAATTTCAATTGGACAGAAAGAATCACTGAGATTTTATCATTATAATCTTGACGATTCATCAACATTTCCACCTTTGTCTGGACGGCATATGATAATATCATCATTCTGCTCTAATTCTTGGTCTGTGTGCTAACAAACTGGTTGAAGAGGCAGACAGTACTGCCGGTGAACACAGAGAAGACGGGAGTGATGAAGATAACTGATCAGCAGCAGCAACAACAACAACGAGCACCAATCACCATCAACGACAGAGAGATTTGAAAGTGGTTGCTTCCTTCACTTATCTGACCAGGAAGCATCGTTTCAACTACAGGAAGGGATGAAGATGTCAGAACCAGACAGAATCGGAAAGGCGAGATACACGCGCCTTCATCAACATGAAACCAGTTTTTGGAAATCTTCCGCTGTCACTCAGCAGAAGGAACAAGATTCGGATATTCAACACCAGTTTGAAGTCGGTCAGAAACTTAGCCAGCATGTTACGAAGAGGATTTCCAACAGCCTGTTGCAGACTTTCATCAGCAGCTGCTCCTCTCGCTGGCTGGCTCCATACTGAAGATCAAATGGCCGGCAAGAAAGAATAAGTGGAACAAATTAACAGGCGGGAGCCGATCGCTCAACAAATATGCAGGAGAAAGTGTAGATGTATCGATCGAGCATACATTGAGGAGGCCGCCGCTGAATGACATCGCACGCAGTGCAGGCCATTGCTCCAGTATAATCCGAATGGAAGCGACGAGTGGGTCGTCGGTGTGAGGGTGACATGGAGGAAATCGTGTGGGGAAGGAGGAGATGAGAGAGTTTGGTCAATCGTGGAGCTAGCCAACTGAAGAGGACGGCAGCTAACAGAACAAGGTGGAGATGTGTTGTTGAAGCCAGCCCTATGTTCCACTCGGAACGCGAGGGAATAATAATAATAATATGATAATAATATGCTATTTGATTAGAAGATTATTTGAGTTAGATTTTGAATTGATAACCTGATGGCAGCAATCAAGAACTGTGGATCTGAAGTGTGTTGGAATTCCTGAGTGATGTGAGCATGATATTGTTGGTCTGGTTAAGTAGATTTTCTAATTGTAATTAAGTATGCCATCTGTTGACTTCGGACGCACTATTACAGAACTTAAGGCCTGGTGAGAGAGCTTGTAATTGAATTTTGGACAGATTGACCAAAGAGCATAAGCCAACTTTTGACATATGCCGCCCAGAAAAGGTGGAAGTGTTGTAGTGATATAACTTGTCATCATTTAGCATTATTGTAATGAGAGCTAGTTGCAAGCCAAAATTGTAGACAACAATTTACGTCAGTGTTTAAGACCGAAATCGAGGTCATGAGAAAAACACTAAAAATGCTTAACCTTGAGGAACTCATTAACCAATCACAGCAGACTCAGCGTGTGCAAATGTGATTCACAGATACATGGCTTTACTTTCTAAAAAAATCGGTCACAAGGAGTACAGAACAACCTTGAGCAAGGAAACAACCAATCAGAAGACGTTGCTTCCCCGCTAACAATAACGCTAATAATAATGTACATAAAAATCTATAAACATTAGTTGATTTTCTCAATAAACGATCTGTCGCCTGGTTCTTGTCCTCTGTCGTTACAGTATGATGGATTCTGTTACATAGAATCATGTTATTAATCCTTTGGAATATAAATTTTAACCATTCATGGCTCACAGGAGTTCGGCAAGGTATATCGCAGAACTAATAGAGTGGTTTCCCGCCTTCAGATCGGAGTTCTTGAGTTATGCCCATTAGAACAACAGGCAGATAACAAACTCTGAAAATGAGAACGTTCTTATAATATTTTAGGTATTCAGTTACAAGAAGTTTGTTTTAAAGGCTGTATACTTCCTAAATAATCGGATAAACAAATATCAATAGTTATAACAATTCACTATGAGTTTAAATTTTCCCGCCATTACTATAAATCGACCAATTTAAAAAAGAATGTTCAATATTCAATTTAAACAAAAGAAGGCCAACAAATTAAAACATACTTCTTCTTTTTTCTGTGTTTCACTTAATTGATAATCACCATCAATAGGCAGAGTACTGTCATGTTGTATAATTTCTTCAGAATTTGTTGATTTCATAACTAAAGAGTTAAATTCATCTAAAAAAATATTGAACTTCAAATGTTTAACTTACTTGATTTAGGCTTTTTATACGGATAATATGATTGACATTCCACAGAATAATTATCGAATTTCATAAAAGTGATGAGAAATGCACAATCTGAAAGTGTCAGCGCCTTTGGTATATCGAAGGTGATATCAACATCAGGAAATGTGAAATTTCGTATTCTTGTTTATTCATTTTTAGGAGGGAAAAGAGGTATTTTTGAAAAAAAGAAGATGGAGTTTTATTAATTTTTGGTAGATTTAAACAAAGCTAAGTGAACAATACACTGATATGACTATACAACTTGAGCATTGTGATAAAGTATAACTCCTCTATGCATAAGATTTTATTTTGATAAATCACACGGTGGTGTTGTACAGTAATATTAACTGATGACGACGTTTCGAGCACAAACTGTTGCCACTCATAATCATATCAAGTTACTCACACAACTTTTTTCCTTCATATATATACATGTGTGGAATCGACTAAATATTGGATTCAAATTCAATGTGAGATAATGTACATTCAGAAATAATAATAGTACGAGTGTTGTTGATCAATTGCAGTTAGATGGGAAAAAGGACGAGTGTTTTTTTTCACAGTCACAATAAGCTACTTGTTAGAATGTTGTGTTTGAATTGAAATAGAATTTTAAGATTATTTATTATCCTTTTCTGATTTAACTGACTGATGGCAATAATACGAGTGTTATTGATCAACTATAATCAGATGGGAAATACGACCAGAGAACTACGAAGAGAACTAAGCTCTAGTGAGATAAAAGTACTTGAGAAAGGACTAAATTTCAACGTGACAGTTAATAAATTAAAACCAGAGGATGTCATTCCTAACATAGAAGTAGCACTAGGCTCAATAGATAAGACAACAGACAGCAGAGATGTTAGAGCGCAATGTGCATTAACCCTGAAAAATCAAAAGAAGGCAAGATCAAACTTAACAAAATCAGAAAGGGAAGCTTTAATTAGTCTAAAACAGGATAAAAATATTGCCAGCGCTGAAGCTGACAAAGGAAATGCCACCGTAGTTTTGGATAAATCTGACTACATCAAAAAAGTTACTGAACATATTCAAATGGGTCCATATGAAGAAATTAAGAAGCCTGTAGACACAATAATGAATAAGGTTAAGAAATCTACAGCGGAACTAATACGCAGAATGAAGCCATCACTGGGTGAGTCTAAATGGTTTAATTTAATGCCTAAAACTAATAATGCTAGTAGAATATATGGTACTATAAAAATACATAAGCCAGGTTACCCCATAGGACCAATAGTAGATTTTAGAAATACCCCTACTTATGAATTATCAAAACACTTAGCTCTAATACTTTGTCCCATTAGAAACCGTTCAAACTCTAGATTAACTAATTCATATGAGATGAAAAATAAACTAAACGACATTCAACTAGAGAATGATGAAACAATGGTTAGTTTTGATATAACTAGTCTTTATACTAATATACCAGTCAATATGGCAGCCTTAGAAGCAGTTAAAAAAGAACTAACTGCGGATCCTGAACTCAATCATAGGACAAAGCCACCCATTGAACAAATTATGTTAGAGATTCAGTTATGCCTCACATCTACTATCTTTAAATTCCAAGGTAAAATATATAGACAAACAGAAGGTGTAGCAATGGGATCTGCAATATCCCCTATCGTAGCAGACATATTTATGGACAGTTGGGAAGTAGTGCTCTTAATTTGTTTAATCCTTATACCATCAACTCTACGACCTGAAGCCCTTAGACGAAGATAAAAGAGGATGGCTAAAGTCTAAACTTGTTGATATTGCTAACCAATACCACATATCACCAATGGAGAAGCAGAAGATGCTGACCGAAGAGCATAGAAAAGCTCTGAAGAAACTATATGAAAACGATGAAATCGTCATATTTAGACCTGACAAAGGCTCTGGGGTTGTTATAATGAACAAAGCTGATTATATACATAAAATGATGACAATTCTAAACGACAAAGAAAAATTCCAAGTAGACAACAAAAAAGATGCCACAACGTCATTTGAAAATAAAGTTAATAAATGTCTCAAAGAACTTCTAATGAAGAAACTAATCAACAGCGAAACATATAATAAACTGAAGTCAAAAGGTGGACGCCTGCCGTCTATGTACGGCCTACCAAAAATTCATAAAGCAAATGTGCCATTAAGACCAATCCTGTCAATGATTGACTCACCATGCCACAAGCTAGCTCGATGGTTAGCTGATTCTATAGAGCCCATTCGAATTAAATTTGCAACCCACAGCCTGAAGGATAGTTATCAATTTTCCAAGGAAGTTGACAATATCGACATATCAGACAAACTCATGGTATCGTATGACGTGACCTCCTTGTTTACAAATGTACCACTGATGGAAACAATTGATATAATTTGTAAACAAACGGATCTACTACCATTACCGGAAACAGAGATGAAGCGACTTCTACTGCTCTGCACAAAAGATATACAATTCAAATTCAACAATCAACTTTACCGACAAACCGATGGGGTCGCGATGGGTTCGCCTCTGGGACCTATCCTGGCTGATATCTTCATGGGCTACCTTGAGCAAACACAACTAAGTTCTGCTATCAATGGAACTACCTACTATCGCCGATATGTTGATGACACATTTGTTGTTTGCAACGATATGGATCACGCATCGGCACTATATGATCGCCTAAATGAGATACATCCAAATATCAAATTCACCATGGAATATGAACATAATAATGAGTTCAATTTCCTGGATCTAAATGTAAAAAGAACAAACGAAGGCACGGTCGAAAAGTCCATCTATAGAAAAGAAACCTGGACTGGACAATATCTTCACTATAACAGCTTTTGTCCCATAAGCTATAAACGTGGATTAGTGAGGACTTTGTATGACAGAGCCAGGAAGCTATGTTCACCAAACAGGGTCGAAGAAGAATTAGTTTTCGTCGAGAAATGCCTAAGGGAAAATGGATACCCTAAGGGATTTATTCAGAAGTACAGCAGAGAAAAAGATGAGAAAGAAAAGCATCCAACTGTAGAAAAGAAAAAAGTGTTTATCTGTCTACCATACAAAGGAGATGCAGTGTCACAAAAGATTGACAAAAGACTGAAAGGTGCAATAAATAGAAGCTTCCCAGCAGCAAAACTCATAACAGTATACAGCACCACTCCTTCTTTAATCCACTCAAAACTGGATAAATACCCTGCTGATGTCACCTCCAACTGCGTTTATGAATTCACGTGCACTTGCGGGAGCAAGTACATTGGAAGGACAGAAAGAAGGGCTTCTATCCGGTTTTCTGAACATATTCCCAAAAACCTGTGCCTGAAAGGAAGCAGATATTCCCAGAGTGCAATTACCAGACACATTATTGATACCGGACATCTCGTAGAGATTTCTAAGTCCTTCAAAATATTAAATAGACAAAGGACAGCAAATTTACTACGATTTGCCGAAGCAATCGCAATCAAAAGACTTAAACCAGACTTATGCATACAGAAAGAGAGTGTGATTAACCTCTCACTCCCTTGGTAACAGAATTTTGATTTTGATTAGTCATCTAATTCAGTGATCTCAACTCACTGAACAAATCTTAATCTCATAAACTGTAACCGTTTTTTGTTTCTTGAGTTGCTATGTGAACCTAAAAGCTAACACTGTTCTGTTAATCAATTTTTTCTGTTTTCTCTCTTACCCCTCCCCCTCTTTTCAACTTTAAAAGCGTATAAATTGATGATGAAAACTTAAACTAAAAACATTGTAATGCTTTCATTTAGATGCGTCAATTTTATAGTATCTCTTTTCTACCACCACTCGAACATTAAAGTATGTTATTATCATCTATATAACCATTGTAATTTCAGGTAGTCTGCAGCTGATGAGAACCTGTGAAATAGAATGATATCATTTTATACTGCAAATTTCGTCTTCCTTTCTTTATCGAAATTTATCAAGGGAACCAAATGTATGAATTTTTTGTTTAATCCTACTCCAAAAATATAGTGAAGATATGTGGATGTCACTTTCCCTCACAGTGTTAAAAACAGAACATATCTCTAGCTTTCTGACACATATAAACTCACTAGTGGAAGGAATAAAATTCACATTTGAATCCGAAAATTTTTATTTTTGATTACAGCTTGATTCCACACAGTACTTTTTGGTATAAGTATGGAATTTTCAGCATGGATATCGGTAGCCCAAATTTTTGCAGGCCGACCATAGATATCAGGTGTGCGTCAGCAGGGGATCGAAACCTCGTACCATGTGAATGGTCGGCGAGAGTCCTAACCAGTGTGCCACCACCGACGCAATTTTAATTCATCTCATCTGTTATCTGTCTGTGAAGGCAGGCTTAGTGAAGTGTTTAACAAACCGAGCCATAGCACTAAGTAGTACAAGAAAAGATCTAAATGACGAAATAAAGCAGATAGAAGAAGCGTTGGTGTTGAATAACTATCCTTTAAAATTCATTAGGAAGATCAGTAAAGACCAAAAGCAAAATAAAAATAATCGTGAAACTATTAATGATAACACAAATAAGAAAGAATATAAGTCATCCACTGTTATACCATATAATGAAGGAACATCTGAGGCCCTACGTAGGATTCTTAATAAAGCAGGAATTAGGGTGACATTCAAAGCTACAAACTCACTCAGAGACAAGCTCTGTAGGCTAAAACACCCGGTGGATCCAATTAAACAAAATAACATAATTTACAAAATACCCTGCAATGACTGTGAGTTAGGTCAGCTACATAGGTCAGGGATAGTCAGATTATCAGAACATAAGAATTTAGCTAAGGTAAGAATGGTTAACCCTAAAAAGATGAGTGATTTAGAGAAAAACCTCAGCTATTGCACTTCACGTATTAACAAACAACCACGCAATAGGGTGGGATAGGGTTGAAATTCTAAAAAGTGATATAGGTAGGTGGAGAGAGAGGTTGATTACGAAATCCTTGTTCATCGAGTCTACACCCAACACATGTGCATCAGAAATGACTCAATGCAAATACCAGAGATTTGCATGGAAGTTATGTGAGTGAGTGATTTGATATGATGATGAGTGGCAATAGTTTGTGCTCGAAACGTCGTCATCAGTTAATATTACTGTACAACAAACACTGTGTGATTTTATCAAAATAAAATCTTATCCATGCTGTGCAATACACTGTGAAAACCAGAGAATACCTTGGATTCTTAGATAAATTCCCCCATATACACATTACAATCCAATTATTATACCAAATTTTTTGTAAATTTGATGTTTCACGATCTGCATAATGAACAGCTCTTGATAAGGTTTCAACTGTAGCACGGTCTAGTTTACTGTGCACCTGTTGTCTAAGTTCATGTTGTGTCTAGAAAATGCAATTAATAAATATTATTAATTTTTGGCAATTTTATATATAAATTACTTGTTCATATTTTATACGCATTTTATTGTCTTCTTCATTATCACCTAATTCTGAAATCAGCTTACTCAATTCATCTATAAGCTATTGAACATTGAAATTTAAAATAAAAAAAATTGAATATTGAACCTTTAAACTTTCAACACAATCATCCATTACATCTTCCATAGATGTACGTTGTTCATTTAAATCCCATAAACTCATAAATGTATTAATTTCTTTTTCAATACTTGGATTTGGTGAACCATCACAACGAAAATATCTTTTCCACTAAAAGTTAAATAATAATAAAAATAATAATTATTTAATTAATTAACTATTGATAAAATAAAAGAGTAATTTGATTGATTAACTCACTGCATAATCATTTCTGCATTCTAATTCAATTTGTTGTAAACGAAGTCTATGTTCATTTAGTATTGTTCTAGTCTCCTTCAGCTCATCAGCGCGTTGTTTTAATTCCTGTGTAAGAATAATAATAATAATATCAAGCTTTATTATATGTGTAAAAATTGCACACTGTAGTAGTAAGTAATCCCGTATTAGTTTGTTTATTAGATGTATCACACAGTTGGAGAAACAGTATTATTTACTGGATGACGAGGTTTCAAACAAAATTTATTTATTGTTCATAATCATGTCATCAATTATAATCACACGACTTTGAAACTGGAGTTTTATAGTCTACTTTGTCTTCTCCTATTTGTCGTGGTTGGGGTAGTAGAATTCTCCAGATATTCGGGTGGACAGGTGTTGAATCATTCCTATTACATGTATTTGCAATTGATTCGATAAACAAAGCTTCCATTATCAATCTCTCCCTCCATTCACCCTGTTACATTAGATTTTAAAACTGTCATCCTATCCCATCCTATTGCATGGTTGTGTGTGATTGCATGTAGTGAGTGGTATAGCTGAACTATTCTCTAGATTTCTTACCTTATTTGGGTCAACCAGTCTAGATTTTGCTAGGTTTTTATGTTCAGCTAGTTTGACTGCCCCTATTCTACTAGTTTGACCTAAGTATTTGACCTGACAACCATTGCAGGCAGGGTATTAAATAAGCTAAATTCTTTTGTTTTAAGGGCTCCACAGGATTGATCCTTTAACCGACAAAGCTTGTTTCTAATTGAGTTTGTAGTTGGTTTGAATGCCAGCCACTTTTATATCTGCCTTGTGAAGAATTCTGCGTAAGGTGGTTTCCAGGGTTCCTTCCTTGTACGGAGTTACTACAACACCAACAATAAGGAATCCAAATCATCAGTAGTAATTCCATACAAGGAAGGAACCTCAGAAACCTTACCGAAAATGTCTAACGATTCAGGCAGGAATAAAAGTGGCTGGCATTCAAACCACTCACAAACTCAATTAGAAAAACAAACTTTGTTTATGGAATCAACTGTAAACACGTGTAGTAGGAATGATTCAACACCTGTCCATCCGAATATCTGGAGATTTCTACTACAACGCCTACGACGACAAATAGGAGAAAACAAGGAAGATATTAAAAATTAAGTTTCGAAGTCGTGTGATTATAATTGGTGAAATGATTATGAACAATAAAGAAATTGTGTTCGAAACTGGGTCATCCAGTAAATCACACGACTTCGAAACTTAACTTTTAATATCTTCCTTGTTCTCTCCTATTTGTCGTCGTAGGCGTTGTAGTAGAAATCTCCAGATATTCGGATGGACAGGTGTTGAATCATTCCTACTACACGTGTTTACAGTTGATTCCATAAACAAAGTTTGTTTTTCTAATTGAGTTTGTGAGTGGTTTGAATGCCAGCCACTTTTATTCCTGCCTGAATCGTTAGACATTTTCGGTAAGGTTTCTGAGGTTCCTTCCTTGTATGGAATTACTACTGATGATTCGGATTCCTTATTTTTGGTGTTGTAGTAACTCCGTACAAGGAAGGAACCCTGGAAACCACCTTACGCAGAATTCTTCACAAGGCAGATATAAAAGTGGCTGGCATTCAAACCAACTACAAACTCAATTAGAAACAAGCTTTGTCGGTTAAAGGATCAATCCTGTGGAGCCCTTAAAACAAAAGAATTTAGCTTATTTAATACCCTGCCTGCAATGGTTGTCAGGTCAAATACTTAGGTCAAACTAGTAGAACAGGGGCAGTCAAACTAGCTGAACATAAAAACCTAGCAAAATCTAGACTGGTTGACCCAAATAAGGTAAGAAATCTAGAGAATAGTTCAGCTATACCACTCACTACATGCAATCACACACAACCATGCAATAGGATGGGATAGGATGACAGTTTTAAAATCTAATGTAACAGGGTGAATGGAGGGAGAGATTGATAATGGAAGCTTTGTTTATCGAATCAATTGCAAATACATGTAATAGGAATGATTCAACACCTGTCCACCCGAATATCTGGAGAATTCTACTACCCCAACCACGACAAATAGGAGAAGACAAAGTAGACTATAAAACTCCAGTTTCAAAGTCGTGTGATTATAATTGATGACATGATTATGAACAATAAATAAATTTTGTTTGAAACCTCGTCATCCAGTAAATAATACTGTTTCTCCAACTGTGTGATACATCTAATAAACAAACTAATATGAAATATCAAGTTTTGTATCAGAAATATGTCAAGTTTGACAGAAGAATAATTAAAATGGCCTTCTGAATACTCTTTACATACATATATAGCTGATATAGCTGAACTTATCTAAAACTTTAGAGTGCAGCGGACATATACTTGATAGTTGCTCGGTATGAAGACGTCACTGGAAGACCTACTGACCTTTACAGTTTACAAGTTGAAGTGTACACCTTCTGGAAAAAGCATTCTTACACTTTTTTCCCAACTCAGGGAGCAGTGGGGGAGCACCATAGTTGGTCTGGTGATCATCTGAGGAAAACACCTTGTAGAGGAGATCATATATGTTGGTCAGTAAAGCTTTGTCCAAAAGGCTTTAAACGCGGACTAGTCAAGAATGTGTACTATAGAGCGAGGAGAATATGCTCTATAGAGAAATTAGAGGACGAATTTGTACTTCCTGAGAAGATGTTGAAGAGCAATGATTGCCCTCAAAGGTTCATTAACAAGTATGGAAAATCTGAAGTGTCAAATGTAAAACAAATCACAGTGAGTAAAACGCCAATCTACATTCAACTTGATTATCAAGGTGAAAACGTTGCAGCAATAGTCAACAGAAGGCTGAGAACATCACTAGCCAAAGCCTATTCTGCAGCTAAGCTCGTCCTCGTCTATCGAACAACTTGCTCTTTGGTGCAATCACAAGTCGATTGATATCCTTCTCATGTTAACTCCAACTGTATATACAAATTTAGATGTATCTGCTGGAGCAGTTACATTAGAAGAACAGGAAGAAGGGTACGCTTCCAATTTTTTAAACATGTACCAAAAAGCCTACGTCTTAAGAGAACAAATGATTTAAACAGTGTCATCACCAGGCATCTCCTTGACATGGTGTTATGTACTCGTCGCTGAATTATTGTTATGGACTGGTCGAGAAACTAATAGTCCTGACGCGAGAAGGCGGAAATCAGAAGACCACTGGGTTTGCGATGATACTTCTATTGTCCAAACACAAGGAGACGAAAATAAATGGTCTCACACCAAAGTGATAAGTAAGTAAAGTAAAGTCACAAGATTGTGAATGCGAAATATATATGAATGTTCCAGACAAAGCGTGGGAACGAATCATTAGACAGTCTTAACATGAATGGCTAATTATAATGGAGTGTCGATCCAAATATACATAGCGAATATAGCAGACATGTCAACAACCATATATGGATATATGTCACCAAGCAACGGACTGTCAACAAACACTCATATTATATATAATATAATATAAGGAGAATACACATTATTAAAGGAGACAAGTTCACACAAGTGAAATGGTCACAGACTAAGAGAGCAAACAGAAAGAGAGATCAACATACACACACTTACAAATATATATGTGTGGATACATATCACATGGGTCATCAGGTGGACGTCGCAAAGTCGTCCAAAATTACCAATAAGAAGAAGAGTTCAATTCTCCTCAAGTTTGCTGAAGCCATCCCCATAGAGCGCCTGAAACCATATATATATATATATATATATATATATATATATATATATATACAATTACTGTGTGCATATATTGATTGGTTGGTTTTTGTTTAAAATGAACTCTGTGCAAATATGATAAAATTGTTTCTGTAGATATACTTAATAATGACTTTGGCCTGTAAGCAGCTGATGAGAAAGCAACGAAATAAGCAATGATGGTACCACTTTATTCTGCAACCGCCACTGTTGTTCTTGCTTTATTCAAAATGCTTTGAGTGTTGTTATTTGATGGTTGGAGGCAATCAGCAGGAAGCCCTGGACACACCTAGGTTTCATATTTGTTGGCAGTCGTCAACAGGGCGTATTTGCATTCTTGACGGAACTCATTTCCCTCCTTCTGAGATTTGAACCAACGTCACCCAGTACTGCAGTCATAGAAGTTACCACTGAGGTATTCGGGTTTCCGGACTGTACTGGATACTTTGAATGGACTAGTGTAATGTGTCCAGTCCTTTGTTTACTGAGGTCTGAATTCTAACAATCGGTTTTGCATTGTGGCCATCATTCTAGGTGGCTTGCCATTACGGTGCACTTTGAATTGTTGATATTAGGTTTCCTTTTTTATTCTTTTACGTTCCCAGTGGAACATAGGGCTTCAAACTAGAGGCTTGAAGTTTCGGTACCACTGGGGTTTATTTTTACAGGATGTGGTTGCTAGTCTGATGTCCAAACTTCCATCGTTACCGATTTTATTACTGGCTTAGCGAGGTGAGGTAAAGGAGTGAGTTGGCCAGGGATAAAAGCCCTAACCACCTAGGTGGTTGGCGAGCATTCTAATAATAATATCAACCGGTAAGAAAGAAACCTAGCACACAGAGGGTCAAAGTTCAAGTCAAAGCAACTATCAGTTCCAATACAATTAACCTAGAAGATGTGAAAACACACAAAAACAAGGAATCACGTCCAAAGTCACCAGAAGAGATGATTAATAAATTCGTGGAGAAATCTAAAAGCTCACTTCCTCGAATTGAAGTATGCGCTGAAGATGTCACCTAGTAGGGTGATGAAAGTTTCGCAGATCAACCATTCAGCTCAGAGAACACAACCACATCAAAATCATCCACCTGAGCTACAAATCTTCTCTATCATATCTACACACTACCTCTTATGATTAGCTTGACGCCATGCTTGCATCAAAAATGATGCAGGTGTGTGGGTCCCAAACGACCATTTTGTATCCATACTGAAATTTTGTTAACAATCAGCCAAATAATATTGAAGAAAACTTTGCGAAAAAGTACAGTGCATAACACATTCAACCATTGCACTAATTACTTTCCAACTATGAGTTAGAGAAGGCCATTCCCTTGCTTATCAGATTCTAAACACACCTAGGTTTTCGTTTACTACGTTAAGACGACCTCGTGTCTTATCATTGTCTTGAGCTTGAGGATTGTATGATTTAGGTGCTGCAAACCAACAAGTTTTTTCTGCAGTAGCAAACCGACCTTCTAAAGATCGAGGTCGAACAGAGTTATATCCATGAGTGTATCCGTAATGAAGACAAATGAAGACGCTGAAACAAAGCGTCTATGACAGCTTGTTTGCTTTCATAAAGCTGTAGGAACTGGAATAAAGCGCTTTATTTAGCGTAGTATACTTTTTTGGCACTTCCTTCACAGTGGGACACTGCTACAACATATCTGAACTAATGAAACTATATGTCCCCTGACTTTAGGAAATAAGAAAATTTAGAAAACAGAAAGATTGAGCGAAGAAATACTTACTTTTCAACTAGATCCTCATCTCTAGCTCTGCTCTAATATATATATATATATATGTAGCGTTTCAATTACAATACAACAGTTTGCCAATCAAGTGGCGATAAGTTTGTTAACAATAATTAAGCAGTGTCAAAATGTCAATGGGTTAATAGTTAACGAAGAAAATCAGTACAGATTTAAAAGGTAGAAGTGGTTAGAATAAATTAATTTTACAAGGATAACACGTGATTAAAGATGAAGTGGACAAAATAAACAAAAAATAAAATAAATAATTTAGACAATTATAATTTTTATAAGTTTAGGGGCAGGGGGGCGACGTCGTCCTGTTTATGCATTCTTGTGACGATGGCCACGGCAGGGAAAGTGTCTGTACAAATTTTTTCTGAACATATAGGCTTGGCTTCTTCAGGTGAATTCCGATTACTTCAGCTGTCTGTAGAGCCAGAGATGAGGATCTAACTGAAAAGTAAATATTTCTTCGCTCAATCTTTCTGTTTTCTAAATGTCTAAATAGGGATTTTTTCTATACTGAAGTAAGAAAATTATCAGGGATCACTGTGTGTGCATCTTTCGGAGGGCATGACAAAATATGACGATTTAACTGATATACTCATTTGAAACTTTCCCCGGTGTTCTGAATTCTCTTCTAGTGACCATATGTTATCAGTTCATACCTTTGGAACCTACTATGTGAGATGTTATGTTAGTCTGACCTATCTTCATGTCATAGCAGGAAGACCTGTCAGGTTTTCAATAAACCGTAAGGACGGACGGTTTACACGAATTTGAGGAAACTGATGGGTTCTGTGTCAATTACTGCAGCCAGTAATTAATCACTACCAACCTTGAGCACATTTGGAGTTCGGTCATAAGGCCATGCTGCTTTGCCCAGTTCTGAACTTAAAACTCTCACTACCGCTTCCATTATATTAGAAGTGGTTAGATAACCAGTAGTGATGGTAAGCCAATCGGCGAATTCCTCCAAAGTATCCCTCACGGAAATTTATAGGCAACTTTAGGATACACACTTGTCTGATCGAAAAAATAGGTCTGATCTTATGTGAAATAAATTAGACTGATGCTGCGTAAAATTAACTTGAGATTGCAGTATAGTGACCTCTCGAAGCCACAGTGGCCCGAGAAATGGGCTGCTTGCTACACTGACGCGAACACCAGTTAGTTAAAAAATAAGTTTCATGTATCCTAAGGCTTACTCCCATTAAGTAGTCCGCGCGGATACTTAGGACATATCATGTAATGAAAATTCCAAAATGTGAGAAATTCTACGGAATTTTGTGATGTCGAAAATTCATCAGCGTCGGAGAATAAGAATAAGCATTCATGATGAAATCCGAAAACTTCGGCACATTAGGCATTTCAACGCCTTTTGACCGTACATGCGGTGAGCTGTAATTCATAAAAGTCCACCAGTACAAACCTAACTAAATGAAAACTTTAGGTGCGAAATACCTTGAACTTCTTTATGTGGAACATCTAGAATACTCTGCAGAGGATTAATTAAGGGAATTTTTGTTTCCTTTCAGAAAACATACACGTAACACCAAACCTATCGAAAACTGACCTCTTTTTCTTGCAGCTCTTTTATGCGTTTTCGTTCTTTTTCTTTCCTAAGTCTTTCGTTTTCTTGCTCCTGGGCTCTTAACTTTGCTTCATCTTATGCAAATAAACAAAATAATTGTTGTGACTAACTTTCTTCATTGGTTTTCTTATCTTCTTCCGTCTTTTTTCTTGAGGAACGGACCGCCTGTAAATAAAAGTAAGGGAATACCGCGAAATACCATTTTTCAAATATCTGCGTTTTCTTTGCTATGACATCAAAGAGTAAAACAAATTTAGGATTTGTGAGTGTCTGGTGGTCATGGCTTCATACTTAGCTTTATTGATGATAACTCTCCATTCTCCAAGTCAATTAATTACAGTGATGAGGTCTGCTTGGGAAGTATGTCACTTTCCCTCTTAAGCGTACATCAAATATTTAGGTCATCACCATAGATAATAATGGAAGACCACAGGTACCGATTAGTATAGCGTGCGAGTATGGCACCTTGAGGTAAGAAGTTGATCACCATTAGAATGAATGGCGTCCATGGTGCAAAATCTTTTCAGTTTGGTCAGCAATCTTGCATGATTTCTTTTGCCATTACACCTGTGATTCGAAGTTTCCTCGAAAACCTATTTGTGTCTTGAGTAACAAATTATCGTTTACAAGTTACCTCATGAAAGCTTCCTCTGCTATTATACCCGGTATATTGATAATAGTGCTGCTAACTGTGGTAAACCAGTAGTTTGATTAACAGCGCCTTGGTAACCGCTAGTGAACAGGGGAGGTTACAGTATCCATCCATTAAAATACCAGTACTTGTTTAAGAAGTGGTCTTAAGATAACAGCTTATATATTATCTCTGTGGACGGCCCATTAACTAGTGTGGCATTTGTTAATCAACGAAGTGATTTGCATGAACCCAATTAGCATAGGTAGACCACCAGTAATCGCCAAGCCGATCAGAAGAGTATTGATGATGGTAACACCATTAGAATTTTACTTCCGGCAGGCTTTGTCTTAGGGTCCTAACAACCCTACTAGGAGGGAGTGAAAAGTAGTGGTGGGCAGTTCCCCAAAATTATTAGACACACTTCATTACTGAACATTGGATGCTGACCCTCACTGTTTAGGTCGATGTGCTTAGCTGAAAGCTTCTGGTCAAGCGCCGCCACTTTACGTTCGTTCGTGTACGATCCTTAGCTAGTTAAGCATGCATATGGCACTCCAAATTGGCCCCGAAATATACTTCGTAATTTGGACGATTCATTCTGGTGTTTTGCTTTGCCTTTGTTCTGAGTGGAACAAGTACTATAGACTTGTGGGCATTAGAACTTGCGTCAGTATACTTCATAGTATCCATTGTATTCGACACCCGGGGCGTCTAATATAGGTACTTCTTATCATAATCAGTATTACGAATACATGAATAATCTTTCATTTCCTATTTAGTTGCCGCTCGTCCACTGGTAGTTTTGACGAAAAGTTGCGGCAGATTTATTTCTAAATTTTTTGTAGCTTTCGGGTTAAACAAATGCGTTTTAGTAGGTGTCCCTCAATCCATCATCATGAGTTAGGCATTTGATGGTGTTGTTCCCCAATTCGCAATTCTCCTTTGGAAGATTCAGTGTTACGTTCTACCACCTCCAAACTTCTGACTGACAGATTTTTTGGTATGGAAGTAAACTATAGAACAGTGGATATCATTTAAAAGTTGAACGGAAAAAGTTGGATAACTGCAATGACAATTCTGCCCAAACTTTGAAAATTAATGCCATAACCTAAGTGAAGATTAAAATAGTCAGTGTTAGTGCAGTCGCCTCCATGGTACTTTTGGATATTTCAAGAATGATTGCTGTACTGCTGTTATTATTCCTTGGGTTTTCAGTGAAACGTGGTGCTTTAGCAGCACATCTTCACTTTGCCCCGTTCCCTATAGTTCTCTTTAGCCGGCTCCACTTTTCCCAGTAGGCTTTTATTCTACCCTCACACTATACCTTTCATATAACATTGAGCTGGTCTACTCATACTATTCCATTCGTGTTATCCTTCGGGAACTGTTACGTGGGGAAGATTGAACGATCTATTCATGGTTGTTTGCTCAAACACAACTATATAATTTTCGTGGGAGCCATCAATAAGGCAGTCATCGTCTCATCGTTCGCTGTTCGAATTGTGTGACGATGATGATGCAGTGAAGAAGCCTGTAGTTGCAACCAGTAAGCCATTGCTGGATAGAGTGTCACAGACGACACCGCAATTTGTTCGGAGGAGGGGAGTTACAGTTTCAAAGTCCAGTTCTGACTCCACAAGTTTACAAGATATTACTAGTGAGAATGAAGGTATAAAACCTTTAAGGATTTGTGAGGAAGAACCCAAATTGTCTACTGCTGTTATTAAAGAGTTTGAAAATGATGAAATTGACGGTAAAGTGAATATTTGTGATGATGATCATGATGGTGAGCTTTTGTCTATGGTTGATCATGATGAGATGAGGGGAATGCCTACTACTGCTAAGTCGATCAAAGGTTCTGTACAGCGTGACCGTGAAGTAGAATTAAATGCATTTGCAGAAGGTATGGATACTCGTGAGACAGCCTGCGTAATTGATCAGCGTTTGGCCCACCTATCATTAAACGCTAGTGCTAAACCCGTGCTAATCATAAAAGACAGCACACAGTCGTCGTTGGTGTTGTCATCCACAATGACAGAGACGTCCATCGACTCAAGTGTCTTGTGCAATGACTATGATAATATTGGTGCATTTGAAAAGACGAAATACATTGCTCAGTTTATTGAGGATAAGCCAACTGTGTATGAGAGGCTGATTGTCAAATTGATTTTCATGAACAAAGGTTTTTCATGCTCCAAGTTACTATTTGAATGCTATTATCTTTGGTGTAAATTACTCTGTGCCTACGCTTGGTTGACCAGATATGTCGTGTGTTTGTTAGTCATCTATATTCTACGATACAATGACATGAGCGTGTTACCGTTCAGATTTGAGGATATAGCTGATAGAGGGAAGTCAGCAAATGAACTCTGCAACGATTTTCCAACCTAGAGCGTCAACTTGAGTAGGGTTGTAGGCGTACTGCTGTAAGTCTTACAATACTTCAAAGGAATTACATCAAGACATTATCTGGGAGGTTATTTGCACTCTTTGTATTTATGTGTTGTGTCATATGAATTGGTGTTTTTTGATTCACTGTGTTTACTTGTTGTCTTCGTACTTTTTTATTGCCTAATTTTGTTAATAATTTCTTTTTGCTTACTTCTGAAGTTGTTTCTAGTCTTCCACATCCGTGGGTGAATCGATTGTTGTTAAAGACAGCAGATGGGTCGTATACGCCGGGTCTGTTATTGCTGAAAATGATATGTACACGGAGGTGATGACTAGCTGTGGTCCCACACGCTGGGAATCGAGAGTATAGACGCTGTAGTGTTTTGTGCGTCACCCTTACTAGAACTAGAATGAGTGACAAGCGATCGCAGTGGTAATTGGTAGTGAATAGATAAGAGGATGTGCGTAGAGTATCATGAGGTGGTGCTGTGGCCACGTTGATTTCTGCAAGAGGCATTCTAGTAAGTGGCGATTGTGTTGCAAGAGGATGTGTCAAGAGGATAGCTTTAACTGGAAGGCGTAGGTCGTCGTCGATGAGTGAGTTTGGGCTGTGGGTATATCTGTGATGTGTTGGCTTTCCTGTTTGTTTTCCATTTCAGCTCTGTCCATGTGACCCAGGATCTCGCAATGGCATTCAAGTCAACGTGTATTGGTCGTGATGGAAAAGAGGGATGGATCCTTTTTTGCCGGGAGTGTCAATGTAGTTGAAGATTGAACGATCAACTCATGGTTGTTTGCTCAAACCCAACTCCTCCATGTGTTTCGCGGGTCATCAATCCGGCAGTCATCGTCTCATCATTCGCTGTTCAGAGGAAGATAAAAAAACCATCAGAATTAATATTGTGATTTATTGTTATATCATTTATTCTTAGGCCTTGTGTACTAACATTATTGTTGGTTACGTGTTAGCGTATGAATAAACGATTCTCGAGTCACCGATCTGTTTTCTGGTTTTCGCGTTGGTTAATACAGAGTGTTTCTGAAAGTCTTTGAGGGACAGCGTGAGGTCGAGCGTAGAAAGAGCTGGATATTTACAGTTTACGAGAGTTGGCTGCTAGACTTTATCTGCTTTATTATATTTATGGATCTCATCATCCTCCTGAAGATATTGTATGATGGATAAAGCTTCATGTATTTGACTAGGTTCCCCGTCCTCACTCTCAAATAAACGTTCAGACAATTAATCCTCTCCTCGTGATCATTCACACTATAAGTAAATGATTCGCTTCATTATTTTGACGTGAGAGTCGGTTGCTAATTTGGCGTCTAAAGATAATCAATCAAAAATTAGCGTGAAATACATAAATGGTGGCCCCATCGGACGGGAATTGGAAGATACCACAAAAATCTTGTTTCTAACTTATTTTGGCCCACGAATATTTACTTGGCAGACAAGATGGCAGCTAAGCAAGCACCTGAAGCACTGCATGATTTAAATGACCACTGGCGATCACCACGAACCACAATCCCCTTTTATTTGATGTTAGGCTCTGAGATATCTGTGACGGCCACTTTAATGATCGATTGTTAGATGTCTTAATTGTATAGAGTGCAATGTTTGTGCGTAGGCATTTCTCTCGACAAGCGATTGCAGATAATCTGCCAGATATACCTGTAAACAAGGAAATTGTTGGCATTATGATCCATTCAAACTCATTCTCGCCTTGCAGACCGTTATTACAGAGGACTGTGAAACCAAAAGTTACAAGGATTTAATGAATAAGAACAGTCTAACTGAGGATAGTTCAAGGTCTTGGTGTACTGAGTAGGACGAACAGAATAAAGGCGGATTTTGTGGTAAAACCATGGAAAATTACTTTGAGAGGACCAATCGCCCAAAAGAACACTTAGCTGATTTTATTATCCATTGACGATATATTGTGGGTCAAATATTCGAAGTCAACTCTTCCATTTAAATGACGAAAATAGCATTGTCTTCAATAAATGGAAGACTATCAGCAGATCGTGATTCAGGGTGTAAGAAAACATTTTAATGAGCTGATAGGTTGTGTGTGAAAGAACATGTCAAGCCAGCCCAATAGCAGGAACTGACAGTGGAAGATTCGCATACAGTTACGCTACTACACCAAATGTTTTAAGACCAATTACTTGGGAAT